TTCATTCTTATGCCTGGTCCTTATGCTCTTCGATACAAAATAGATTCAACAAATCACAATCTAACTAATATTCTCTCCGGTTCAATTGTTATCATAGCTGACAGTTAATTCTGCACAGTAAATCCATAATTTATGTTCTGAAATTGCATTTATAATTACTGTTCAGTTTACTAGTAAAACATTTATTTTAAGTGATGAATAGAAGGCTTGGTATGAATGATAGATGCACATTTTGCCCATTATGTTTTGCAGAGACAATATGCTGTATGGCCGACAACCTGTGAGAATGTCTCCAGTTGGCCCTCCCTTGAAGCCCCGCAGTAGCACCCCAGTCTCCCATATAAACGGCCACAGCAGCGCCCTGGGGGGCAGCACGGGGCCCATCGAGGACCTGACCCGCAGCTTAAGCAGAGACAGAGACCGCGAGCGAGACAGAGACCGCGAGCGAGACAGAGAGGGGGACAAGAGGCCGCAGCCCACAGTGTCTTCACGGGGCCCTCCTTCATCTTTAGTAGCAGACAGGGACAGACCACGCTCTTCCTCATCTTCTGTGCTCACCACTCCCCCGCCCTCCAACCGCTCAGCCCAATCTCCTCTGGACCTTTACCCCCGCCCAATGGCCCCGACAGGACACGGCCTCCACAACGACCCCTCACACTCCCAAAGAGACGGTAACCTCCCTTCTTCCTCCGCAGCTTCGGCCTCTGTCACTTCTTTGTCTCAGGCCAAGAAGTCTGACCGGACCACGACCCCCGTGTCTAAACCTCCGCTGCTCCTCCCGCCTGTTAAAGTCAAAGAGGAGCGGAAAGAGGAGCCGGAGCATATCCCCATCACGCTGCCTCCCCCAGCACCCAACAACAGCTTCGAACGCCCCAACAGCCATCCACACCACCACCGCTCCGGTACCCCTTCCTCTTCCTCTATGTCACTGACTCCCACTCCCAGTGTTCCTCTCATGTCACACGCTCATGCTCAAAACGCTGCTGCTGCTGCTGCTGCACACCACCACCACCAACAACAACAACAACAACAACAACAGCAGCAGCAGCAGCAGCAGCAGCAGCAGCAACAACAGCAGCAACACCAACAACACCAACAACACCAACAACACCAACAACAACAACAGCAACAACAGCAACACCAACAACACCAACAACAACAGCACCAGCACCACCTCTCCCTGCTGGACCGCTCCAGGGCCATCGAGGCGTACCTGGGCAGCACAGGGGCTGCAGGTTTGGTGATGGGTCCAGGAGGAGAGCGTTTCCACCACGGCCCTGCACAAGGGCCGCAGGGGCCCCACAGTTTCACCTGGGATCCCTGGAGGGAGCTGGCTGCTCAGCAGCAGCATCAGCACCGCAGGGAGGCCATGGCGCTCCGAGCAGATCCTCACCTCGCCCTGCGAAACGATCCACACCTGGCCCGGCTGCTCCAGCATCAGCGCCTTATGGAAGCCGCTGCAGCCAACTCTCAGCACCCTCAGACGTCTACCTCTTCCGCCCCCAACTCGGCTGTCCGCCAGGAGTTCGGCCTCATGGCGCATCACTTTGAGCGCCCTCATCACCTCGGACACCCGGGAGGAGGGCTGATCGACGAGGACCAGCGCACCCAGATCCTGAGGGAAGACTTTGAGAGGGCCCGCTACTTTGGTATGCACCCGCATATGCCCCCTGGCGCTCACCTCTCAGGCCCCTCACACGCTGTTGCCGCTGCTCACCTGGAGCAGCTCCACTCCGGCCTTCTCTCCCACTCGCTCCCCCACGGAGCCTCTCACGCTTCCCAGCACCACGCCGGCCTCTTCGCCCGTCTTGGCCAGCTGAACCAGCACCACGTGCCCAACGGCATCCTGACAAAGACCCCTGCGGGCTTGGTGGGAGCTCTGGCGGTGGGGGCGCCGCCTCCGCTTATTCCGTCCATGACCAGCCGCTCGTCCACGCCTCCCCGGAGACTCGGGCCGGGGGAGCTGGCTCTGTACAGCATCCACAAAGACGGAGAGTCCAGATAGTACAGAGACAACACTGGAGGACATTAAGGGAAATGTCAGGATCACTGTGCTGCTCTCTACCTGCCCCCTTTACCTCTTGCAGACTACTAACCCTCGCTGTTACACAACCAAACCAGCTCCAGTCTGCCCAACAAAGGGTAACCACGTGTGCTTTTCATTATGATAATATGTCTCCTTGCTTTCCTCACGGGTTGTGTAGCTCCTCTCAGCTTGTATCTGAGAGAGAGTAGTGAGGAGCCAAAGCTTCCAAATGAGAAACCTCGTCAGTTACTGGAGGTGTGGGATTTATTAAAAATACAGGATAGGATAGGATACACCTGTGTTTCCTTGCATCCAGAAGCCTCCTAGCTTCTCGTGTCTTCGAGGTGCATTTAAAGGATTGAAAGATCTTCCATGATGGCGGGGGGGCTGACAGTTTCCAGGTCACGGGAGGATAGAGGAGGCGAGGAAGCATATGTTAGCGTAATGAAAAGCAACCCCGTGGCTGGCTGGAGGTGATGAAAAGGAGGGAAATGCAAGGCTTTTAAGACTTTTTTGGAAATATGCGCAATGGTTCTATCAGTGCAATTCAAAGGTACATGGTTTCTGTGCATCCTTGGTGTATTTTTATTTTATACTGCCTGTTGGTTATTACAGTACTCAATTTAATAAGCTGTAGGAAGAGGAAGAGAACAGCTTTTTCTTTCATTTGTCAGGTGATCCATGCTGTTTCAGCAAGCCTTTTTCTGGGTTGGATTGGAAATGACTTCCAGAGGGATGCACACTGTGAAAACATGCAAAGGTTCATCCTCAGCTTCTCATGGGATATTATTATTATTATTATTATTATTATTATTATTATTATAAAGCCTTCCTCTTCATAATTCAACCCTGGTTATGTATTGTAGATGATGGGGAAACCCTGGCAAAGGGGTCCTTTCTGTACTGATGAGACCATTTTCAATGAAGATTGGTATAAATCGCACCTCCTGCTTTACCCAAAAATCTAACCTCTCAGCTTCAATGATGAGATTCAACCTATTTTTGGCTTGTTTTGTTTTGTTATCAAAGGTTGAATGGTGAAATGACCTGTGCTACACTGTGTGAGTGAACACAGCGTTTTAGAGCTTCCTGTAACTGTTTCCCACTCTCCTCTTGACTATATGAGCAGGACCAGAATATAGTAGTCTAGAGAAATTGCCTTTGTAATTATTATTATTAACATTAATTATCTTCTATAATAATAAATATATTCACTGTTATGTTATTTGTCTTTGTTTCGGGTATCAACCAGTACTCTCTCCCCCCAAGCAGTTTCAGATCATCAAAAGGCTTGCGTCACAGAAAACTGTTCAACGCTTGTGAACATTAAGCCGTCTCCATTCACAACCTCTGGCCTCTTCAAGGATCTCATCGACGACTTTAATAAACTGAGAGGGAGGTTTGCCTGTGTGTTATATCCATTTTGGGACTATGGGAGCCTTGTACAGTGAACTGTCGAGTTGTTTCACCAATAAAAATAAGTTATATACATGGATAAGTGGGACATCTGCTGAAGAACTGAAAAAAATATAAGGACTTGTTTCAAACGACAACTAGACAGTGGGTATCCTGAGAGGGAAAAGACTGGGTCGATTATTTTAATATGACCATTTTATACCTTTCAAACCCCTCCCCTAGAGACCACAAAGATTAATTATTAAATGAATTGTTGTTTACTCTGTTGTGTGGGTCTTTTCTTCAGTTTGTTCATGCCTGATTTACCTGGTGAGTGTTTTTCATAAATAAGAACACAGTGACAATACCCTGATGTATAGATAGTCTCAGAGAAGAACTCAAAAATCTACACATTTACATTTCAGTACTGAAGTTGTCTTTCAATTTAAGACATTTGCAATGATATGTCAATTGTTTAAAACTTTTAATATGTCGACTGAAGTATATTTTCTTATATAATCTAACACAAAAAGGAAATTCTGAAGCACCATTCACTATTAATCCTGCATTTTAAGGGAATAAGCAGGAAATTACTCTCCTATACTACTTGTTGGTGGAATGTAACTACACTAAGTAATCATTTCTGTTCGACTACATGTATATGAGAGCTTTAGTTGCCTAACAAATTCATATTTTTGCATTTAAAACCTTTTTATAAAATGTTTTGATATCAATTAAGCTCCCCTATAGTTTAAACATAACAAATTATAAATTAATTTTCAGGGAATAAAATTAATTTGAGACTATTTTGGAAAACCATTTAATGTTACCCGCTTCACATTCGTGATATGCTGCTTTTCCTTTTATATTATAATAAAGGTAGCCTAATGTATTATTAATATTTTTGAGGTTTGACCATATCACGGTTGGTGAAACCAAATATTTTTAAGGGGACACTAGGAACTGGGTAATTGACACAATTTTCTAATTATCATCAGCCTATTTTTAAGAACCCCAACAATCCATTAATGGAGAAAAAATATTTCAACAGGTTAATCCAAAATGAATAATATATAAAATAATAACTAATTGTATTAAGACGTTAAAAGTTATAAATGACCTATGCTACGAAATACTGCTTTTAAAGTATGAGTAATAATAATCTAACATAACAGTCACAGGGGAAATGTGTATGGTTATTTTTTCATCCATTATACTTTAAAATGTTTTTATTTTTTCAAAAAGAAAAATATTTTATTCAAGAATACTTTCTCCAATACTGCTAGTTGATTCATTCACTTTTGATCACGCAAGGATCAAACTGCAAACACCTTTGTTATATCTAAATATAATATCCGAATGGGACGTATTATAATTGTTTTACTGTGAATCAACACCGTCATGATTATATAATGTAAGCGCCTTTTAAACATAAAGGTAAGCAGTTGGAAAAACCGATTATTTACAATTATCCATCAAGCTTGCTTCTGAAAACGAGTTTTTATCAGAAATTTCAAGTGCCGCGCTTAACAAAATCTCGCGAGATTTTCCTATGTTCTGTACTTTGTCAGCAGCAGCGGTCTTCCACCATTTCGCTGCGTAAAGTCTCCTCCCCGCGACCGCTACATTCTGCGCCGAAACCCAGAGTCTCTCGCGGTCCGTATTTTAACTTCTTCCCACAGACCTAGTGGTACCTCGTTGGGTACCGGGAGACAGATTGGATTACTGACATCAAGGATTGAGTGTGATTTTACGCGGATGACGACTCCTTCAACGAGAATTTAGTAAAAGAAAATTGGTCGGAAATTTCAGGTAGGTGGGAACTTAAGATGGCGGCCTTAGGAGAGGGAGGGGGGCAAGGAGGAAGTAATGGGGGAATTGAAGGGGGGCTCTGACTAACGAAAGGACACAATCAGAATGCAATTTATTTGTCAGTATTTTGAACATACGTCGTTGAAATGCATTGGCACTGAATTCAAATCGAGGTCGGAGATTGAAATAAAACCCAACAGCACTGAATAAATTCAATTTCAAACGAAATTAGCTCTTTATACACATCATTTCCTCAGTGTCGCTTCTTAAGAGCCTGTCGTTGTACCCTAAGGGTCCCCCCAAATCCCCCGTATAATCATTGCAAAATGTATATGGAACTTTTTATAATATAGTTTTTTCGCTCTTTTTTTATATTCACACAAAGTAATTTGTATTGGTGTGTGTGAACCCAAATAATTGTAACGTATTTATTATCTTGGAAACAAGATTTGACCCCACACAATGACGTCACGAGTGATTGTCCCCCTAGCTCTGTATAGTAGTGCATGCTGAAGAAACGGGTTTTAATGCGACTTTTGAGATGTTTTTGCCTCATAGCGAAGTAACTTAAGCTAATGTGTCGGTATAAACAGGCTTCTTTTGATGGCTGGAGCATTACATAACTGCGGGTGGGGAAGATGGAGCGCCTGCGCATTAAATGAACGCACCCTTAGTAAACTCTTGTACCTTGCTAGTTAGCTTTCCTTTTTAGTGCCACCCAAGCAGTGTGTTATTGTGGAAAGCTAACATTAGCCAGCTAACCATACTAGCCAAACCGGCTGGCGTAAACGTTTAACTACTAGAATGCGTGACTTTTATGAATCACACGGTTCCCAGCGTTTTGGTATTATTACCACACGCCGGGAATCTTCTTTTCATCTCATGAACACATAACTACTAAATACAAATGTCATTTATTATGGTACATAACCATCTGAAACTTAATGCAGCTACAACTAGCACCACCATGAATTACATTTACATTCAAGAGAGCATATAAATGAATGAGTGGAGGCCCGCGCTTGGTCACCGGCTTTTAGCCTGAGAGCGCGTGCTGCAGGATTCCTATCTTCCTGTGGGCGACTGCAGCAAATGCAATAGCTGTAGCTAACGGAGCTGCTCGTTTAGCCCGTTCAGCGCCGCTGACTCACTTATAGTATTTTATTACTGCTGCAAAATGCCAAATATACCAACTACAGTCCTAGCAGTTGGCTAGCCAAAGCTATCCGAGTGTTGCTGTTGCTGCTCTCATGACGTGACATGTTACCCAGCGTCCCACACACTGTGCTATTTGTGTTCACTCAATTCAGACCTGAACATTAAATAAATAAATCCAGCTACTTTACAGTTTTGAATTGCGAAGTGGAGAGGGATGCAGTCACTCGTTTGATTTGAATTAGAAAGTTGACATTTGTCTCTATTCCTTCTTCCTCAGAATATGTCGAGGGGACCCTAATTTCAGCATCCTGGAAGTAGAAAGCACTGAAGATCTGTGTCTCACACCACAGACAGGTGAGAAGTTGTTGCTTTGAAGCTGTACTTTCTCTAGTCAGATATTCTTTTTTGGTAGAAAAGAGTCCTGACTAATTGGATTTAGATGAGAGCATTGCCGCTTTGCTTTTTCTTTTTTTTTTTATGCAATGAGAATACAATGACCTGCACTTAAATAAACAAACAATAGCGTGGCACAGTTAACAAAGAACACAGACTCTGGTACTAAAAACATAATAAAATTCATGCATACATAATATGCCATCCCTAAAACCATCAACAATACCTGAAGCTAATGTTGATGGTTTTGAGCATGGCTTACCATAGGTTTCCTGATTTCACTTGATATATATTCATGTTTTGCTGGCTGCAGGACAAATATCCCTTGGAAACAATAATATAAGATCTACAAAAGAGATATTTTCTATTTGTTGAGTTATTTTTTTCCATGTCTCTCTTTATTTTTTCAGCATTTGTATCACCAGACACCTTTTTAACAATCTCTATCTCCCACAGGTGCAGTGTGTAGCCGGGGCAGCACAGAGAAAGCAAGCTCTGGGGAGGAGGCGGTGCGGCAGGGTGCCTCTCCGGCTGTGGATGTGCAGGGTGGCAACCCTCAGGCTGCACAGAATGTGGCTGGGGAGTCACCTCAGCATGCCCCGCAGCCGGTCGCAGCTGCCCCCCGCCCAGTCCCTCCTTTCACCAATCTGTCCACTTTGCCACTGCCAGAGAGCAACGACTCAACATTCTTCGGCATGGAGAGCGCCCGTCAGACCATCTTGCCGGAGACACTCCCGATCACCAGCGTCTCCGAAGAAGTCCCAGCTGGGGATAGTGTTGTCGGAGTTTCGAGATCCTTGCCAACATCCCTCAACGCGGACGGCAGTTCCTCCGCTGAGATGCAAAGGCTTTCAGCTCCCCTTTCTCCCCCTCTCGTCCCAGAAACACAAATTGACAGCACAGTGCAAGAGTTGCAATACGGGTCAAAAATTGATAAAGAGAAAAGCCACACAAATCAAGTGCAGCCGCCTAGAGAAGCTGCTGGACTTGTGGTTATCACAGGGACAAAGGAAAAACAGTCCATCACATTGGAATATAAACCAGAGACTGGAACAAAAGTGGAACTTTGCGGAAAAGAGCACACAGGTGGAAATATTCTTCTCCGACCCAAATCTCAAATCTGTTTCCGAGCCCCAGTTCCCTCTGTCTCACAATCGAGTGTTGTTATTAAAGTCCAAGACACCACAGAACACAGGGATATGGTCCTGGACTCGGAAACATCTACAATCCCTTTACCCTCGTCTGGAAACGGTGAGATTAAACAAAGTGACTTGTCAAAAACACAACCTAAAATCACCACAGAGCTCTCAGCTGATGCCAGAGAAATGCAGAAAGCTAATTCTTTGGAATCAGTTGAGATGTCTGAGCCTGTCAAAGAGCTTGTTGACACTTCTCACAACGAGAGACAACCTCCCTCTGCTGCAATACTTGGGACCAACATCCAGAGGAGCTGCGATCCACTCGTAGGAGAGCAGGCGGAGAGTAGCATGAAGGAAGACCAAACTGACACCTCCTCATCTGACATCACAATGCTGCCAGAGTGCTCTTTCTCACAGGAGAGTTACTCGAAACCCTCCGCTGCACCCCCTCTGTTTGTCTCAGTGCAGACGGAGCCGGTTGTTGAATCGGAAACATCTCACCCCTGTGAACAAGAGACGCCACTAACTGCCGAGCTTGTGCATTCAGCCGAGGCTCAAGAAATCGTTGTGGTCAGGGAGGAAGCTCACATCAGCGGGGACTGGACTAACATGCACCTGAATCAGAGTTACCTCCTGCAGAGAGAAGATGGCAGCATCTGTGAAGCTGCCATTGTAAACCAGCTGAGTTCTGGGGAACCAAAGCTGTATGAAGAAAGTGTTCAAGCAGACATCGAGATGGACTCGCAGCCTGTGGAAGTGTACGAGTTTTGCACCCTGGTGGAGGAGGTAGCGGAGGAAGTATGTGCCAGCAGCAGCGCACTGGTACCCCACTCTCCGGGATACGAGGTGAACTTATTCAACGCGTTACTCGAACACTCTGTGGACCTTGAACCAGCAATTCACACACTTAATGAAAGTGAACCTGTCATTATTTCCCAGGAGCCTTCAGCATCGCATGATGCAAATCAGATACAGGCAAACCTTAATTCCCATAGTTTGTCCATACAAAACACTGGGGCAGCTGCTGTCGTCAGGCAGCATTTGGTATTAGATGCTAACCAAGCTGTTCAAGTGGCTAACTCAAGTGAAGTTAGTTTAGTTGAAGTAGCTGCTGACTCATTCACTGTTGAACAGACAGACACTGGCCAACAAACACCTTGCTCACAGGTCAATGAGGCAATATCAGACCAAACAGAGTTGGGTGATTCTCCTGCAATTCAAAGGACTCTCCTTAAACAGGAAGCAGAAGCAACAGCTGGTGCACTGTCTTTCATAGCCCCCTCTCTAAATCAGACTGTAAGTGCTACAAAGCGTGAGGCCTGTGTTTCTTCACATGAAGGGACCAAAGAAACCCCCCCTGCTTTGACTGAGACTCCATCACAGAAAATCCAGAATGTTGCTGTGCCCACAGAAACCAAACCAGAGGCTTTCTGCACCACTCGCATCTCTGGTACTATAAATCCAAAGCTGCTCCGTCTTAAACCGGGAGAAACTCCTCTCCTGAAGCACCCACCCTCCATTTTGGCACGGCTGTCCAAGCAACAGAATGCGGCTGGCAAGCTGGCAGTGAATGACCACAGCTCTGAGGAGTGCCTTCCCCAAACTGTCTCGGACTCTTTATGTGCGCCTGTGGCTCTTGGCGTCCAGAAAGATCAGACGCAGTGCTCTGACAATACCATTTCTGTGTCAGCAGCCCCGCCTGTCAAGGTACAGCAGCCCACTACGAGTGGTATCTCACTTCAACCTGTCCAGACTGCATCTGTCACAACCTCAACAAGCAAATCTGACAAAGAGGCCTTAAATGTTACTGAAACTACAAGTGAAGAGTCCCAAGATGTTGTCACCCCTACTACGTCTAACTCTTACATGCTCTCAGCACCAGTGGAAAGGGAAGATGAAGCATCTACCAGTCTCAATGATCCCCCCAGCCAACAGGACTCCCTCCATGTGGAGGAAGAGAGTGAAGACATGGAGCCGGACGAACCAACGGACGAAACCGAGGCTCAGGAGGACGCCTCAGGGCAGGTCAGCAGCCCAGAAGAAGGAAGTGACGAAGAACCAGACTGCGACAAAACGGAAGGCGGGATGAACACCCCCAGCTCTCCAAACAAGGTATTTTCATGAAGAAATGATTTGTCCTTGAATGTCACAGTGGGAAAGTTGTGTCAGCCTTGATTTAACAAGGACACAGCTGAAATGAAAACAATGTTGAGTTTGTATCTAGGCATCTATTACATTGTGATAAAGATGAGGCGGAAATGTGTTTATTAGCTGCTCCCTGGGGTATGTCATTGTTTCAGACAATGTTGTCCTTTACTTTTCCAATCTGAATGATGTGCCACACTAGAGGTAAAGAGCTATTCTCACTATATATTGTGAGGAACACTCTTTTTACTACATATAACACAATGATATATTTAAGCTGTGGTGATGTTCCGCAGGTGTATGACTGTTTGGTTATTGTGTACTATTTACTTGTTTTTATCTATGCTTAATTTAAATGAAAGTAATATTTGTCATAAACACCATCATTATTATGCTCCTGTAATTCAAATCAGGTTTGAAGCATGCTTGTCTTAAGATGGCATAATTCTATACATCCTTCTGCATGTTGGTACCTGTTTTATATCACTCGTGTGTGTTATTTAGTGATTTATTTATTTTAAGTTGGCCACATGCTAAGCCATGTGTGTTATCCAGCATGGACAGAGCAGGACAGACAGAAAGGCAATATTCCTGAAGGTAAGTGGTGGCTGTCAGACAACCACATAGGTTCCTTTCACACAGGATACTCAGCAACGCTTCCTAGTCAGGCGCTGTCACTGCTAATGCCAAGGAGCACTTTGACTTCTTCTATTTGATGATCGTTACTCTGCATGAGGCAAACGCTGACTGAAAGTCACTAATGGCTAGTTTGTAAAGTGGTGCAGTGATGACATGTTTTTGTAGACCGACCAGGAAGTCAACATCGCCAGGGCTCTTTCCACAAAAAGCTGGGAGGGATAAATGTTTCTGAAGCTGACACGTTTTCTTCAACAGGATAATCTTCACATATTAACACCACTTTATGATTTTTGAAGCAAATATGCAATTGCCATAGGTAAAGAGCTAATTTTAGGTTTTTAACAAACTACATGATGGTCGCATGACTCCACGTCACCACTGCTAAGCTAAAGGCTGCTAATGTTCAGTCACCTGTTAGCAACTGCTGCTTTTATGACTAATAGAAGTCATAATTGGGGTTTTTACTGGCATAGTTTATGTCATGGAACAAAAAGTGAAAGTCTCTTTAGCTTGTGATAGACCTTATTTCAGGGATCTAATCAAAAACACGTTTAGGAATCATTCCTGCACCACTTTATGGTTCTGGAGCATGTCAGGATGTGCTTACTATAAATGCTTGTTAACCAATTCATGCATGTGGCTTTTTTCTTAGTGAACTTTACTGCTTTCACCTTTGGAAATAATTTCCTCTTGTGCTTCCTTATCCTTAACCTTCAGGTACGCCAGTGGATAGCAGACAGGGTCACGGAAAATTCATCTCCCGTTCCACCCTCCACCTCCTCTTCTTACCCGGGTCCCTCACCCTCCAGTGATTGGTCGAACCTACAACGGGACAAGTCTTCACCTCTCCGGGGTCCTCATGGGAAGTTTGTGTCTCCCATTTCTACTGGCGGAAGATGCAGTTCCTCCTCTTCCCCACCTGAACAGGTCACTCCTCAGCGCCCCCGCGGAGAGCGTCACACAGACATGGCAGAGCTGGCCAAACATGTGAGTGATCCATAACTTGCCCTATGACACGCTGTAATGACTTTTTTCTTTTGAAGAAGCAAGACTACATGGGCTTAGGGGAACTTACAATAGTTGTTTAATCAGAAATACAAAATAAAAAAAAGTCTTAAGTTTCCACAGGTGGTTTAAGGTGTCATTCATTAAGTTTATCTGCAGAAGAATAATTCACTAGCAAATATGACCATCTGTTCGGATATCCAGAATATTTATTTGTAGCGTTTGCTGACATTGGAGTACATTTTGATATGCAGCATTGAGAATCCAAGTCTCAATAGGAGTTTCTGTGCAGTTTGCAACACCCAATCCTCTTGCCTGCTCTGTGCAATGAGCACAATTCTACTAGACAAGAATGTGTGGAGTCTGTTCTCGTGTATAGCAGCCATTAAAGGAGTAGCTCATAGAACACAGTTTTGCAAAATTGCGACAACGAGCGTATTAGAGGAGCAACATGACGGCAGTTAGAAAAGGATGGACTTTCAAGTTATTTGAAGGGCGTATGCGTACCATGGGTTTGACATTATTTGCAGAATTAACTGTTACATCCTAAAATAAATATAAGTGGAACAATCTCTTTGATTAGCCATTCAAACGGCTTGGGAGTAACATTGTCTTTTTTGGAATAAGGGCAATCAAAGGATAGAATCATTAATATGAACAGCTGGTGAAAAATCCAAAAAGCACAATGGACATTGATTGCTGTGGTTATAAAGGAATACTGTAAGCTTTTTCACATTTATATATGTTTTTGATGTCATGATAAAGGCTTTGAGATTGAATAATTGAAGAGAGTGAAAGAAATGATGAAAAGACCTTAAACTCCCAACCTGCAAAGTTGAAGGCTCCCTGTTTCTTTGTAATTCCTGATTCGCCCACTGATACAAATGTCTCTTTGATGTTGTTACTTTGCCTGCACTCTTCTGGATTATACTTGAGAGCTGTGTAGAAATCTGCAGTGAATAATCACAAAGTCTGAAAGACACAACCACTACCACCATTTACCCACAAATCATCTGTACAGCTGCAGACCAGAAGACCATCTTCTGAGGCGATGCAGGGTTGATTTGTATTCAAAACAGTCTTTTCATTGAGGAAAACAGTATCTCTGTTTCGAACCATTCACGTATTTAGTCCCCTGAAATGTTTAGTAAAAAATTCTGAAATGTATGCGAGCTGCTCAAATTTGAAGCATGTTCTGTTCAGATTGAGTACTGTACAAGAATGACATGAATTTGCGTAGCTGACCTTACTGGTGAAATGGTTTTTGTTGTGGTAAAAACAGTCATTTGCAAAATAGCAAGAAAAGTGGGGCGTCCTGGTTACCAGTTTCTGTAACATTGTTGTAGCACTGATGTGTTTGCAGGACTTACTGAGAGGTTTGGCTTTTGTGTGTCTGTAGGAAGCAGACATCGAGCATCGGACCCAGTCACTGAAGCGGGAGGGCTTCTGGTCAATGAAGCGTCTCACCCGCCTGACGGAGCCGCCGCGACCCAAAGTTCACTGGGACTACCTGTGTGAGGAGATGCAGTGGCTCTCTGCAGACTTCGCTCAGGAGAGGCGCTGGAAGAGAGGAGTGGCTAGAAAGGTAGGTTGAGTGTTTTTGTTCCCAGAAATGTTAGTGTTTCACAAGCTTTATTAAAATAATAAGTATATCGTATATGTGTTTTTAAGTTGTGTTATTTTGTCCCGTTATTAGGTGGTCCGAATGGTGATGAAATACCACGAGGAGCTGAGGCAAAAAGAAGAAAAAGCCAAGCGAGACGAGCACTCTAAGATCAGAAGAGTCGCCTCTTCTATCGCCAAGGAGGTCCGGGCTTTCTGGAGCAGTGTGGAGAAGGTACAGAGGAGAGAAAAAGTCTAGTGTTTGAATGTTTTTGTCACAGAAAGAAAATGCACTTGTAGGAAAATAGAATACATATTAACTATTTAAAAAAAGATTTTGCATCAAAATAAATTATTAACTTTAAGGCATAAATTAAAAATGCTAACTGAAAATATAGTCTGTAGAAGAAGTCTTTTCAAACCTACTCTTTTTTTACTTGGCATACACTTATAGGCAACTCTTTCATTATTGCTTTACAAATAAAATGCATTTCTTTGCATTTCTTATGTTAGTAAGATTAGGCGCTTTCACACCAAGTACTTTGCCGTACTTAGTTCCCAGTACTTAGTTAATCAGAACTCTTTAGTTCTCATGAACTAAATACAGATCGCGTTCACACCGGAATAAGTCCCTGGGGGAGGGTTAGGCAAATGAAGCCGCTGACGTCACTTCTTCTTCTTCTGCTTTGGGTTTACTGGCAGGCCGCAAACAATTTCACGGCGTATACTGCCACCCGAAGTCCCCGGCCGGATGATTTTAGACAATTTAAAATTATTTGTGTGCTTCCTAATCTAGGCAAAATTTAGTTTTCTTAATTTAGTCAAGAATTGGTCACGGCTAATTAAAGTAAAAGTCACCCCTTGTTAAGAGTACTTCTGTTTTGTCCATAAAGGTGGTTCAGTACAAGCAGCAGTCCAGACTGGAGGAGAAGAGGAAGAAGGCTTTGGACCTTCAGCTGGACTTCATTGTTGGACAGACGGAGAAATACTCGGACCTCCTCAGCCAGTCGCTCGCACCCACCGGACCTGCCGAAGATGAACCTGAGCCTGTCACAGAGACTCCCCCAAAACCTGCGACACCTGCCGCGGATGAGGAGGGTGAGAAAGCGTTTTTTTATTAAAGAAATACCCTGCCCCTCATAAAAAAAGCTCACTGTCTCCATGTTAAAGCACTGAGTGGGTTCAGAGTTGAATCATTGGTTCAGACGGTGACGTTGTCATAGCTACACACCAATAATTCAATCTTTTTAAAGGCACACAAAGGTAAAATGTTTCATGGAGACAAAAAGCTGTCAAGGACATTGCATCTCTGAGAGACTTGTTCTGTGCAAATCCAACGTGATGAGCTCGAATGTAATAGCAGTGAGGATGTTGAGGTTAATATTCGTCAGTGCAGTAAAACGCTTCTTGGCACATCTCCAGTGCACCTTACTGAGCACTGCTTGTGAACCGTCAAGCTGGAGACTTGTCAGACCTGTCAGACTAGTCTGCTGCACCGTGTTATCAATGGCACTTGATTCTTTAAGCAAGCCAGACTTAAGTGTAAGGCTTTGTTCAGTCAGAGGAAGGACAAACGGGCCAATCCCTAAAGGAATGATGACCCACACCATGTTTCCTTGACTTCCTGAATAAAACGTTGTTCTTGAATGACTTCACTATTCCTACTGTGTAAACCACTTCCTAAAAAACGATCTCATGCTTGTGATACATTATACATCTCTTTTTTTTTCCCTTAGAGATTTGAACAATAATCAGAAAAAGTATTTTTTTCCTTACAAAACTGTTCTTGTTTCTTGGTGCAGACAGAGACTTTGAACCTCCCTGTGAGGAAGAGGATGATGAACAGACCTTAGATGTGGAGGAGCAGCAGGAGGGCAATGATGCTGAGAGCCATCGGAGGGAGATTGAACTGCTGAAGGAGGAGGGCATGCTGCCCCTGGACCAATTACTCAGCACCATCAAACTGGCTCAGGTACAGCCACTAAACGGATTGGACCTGAATTATCGTCAAATGGCATAAGATCACTGAACAGTTATATTTTGGTCCCAAGCTCTTCAATTCAAACATTGACATATACCTATAGGGTTCATCTTTTCTGTCCATTAATTGCTGATCATCACGTTTAGAAATGTATAATCTAAATAAAACCTAATCCTAGTGCTACAACATGTAAATGACATTCCATCATAAGATTCAACTGAACACACACCTAATACACACATTGCATTTATTCTAATACATGCTCTTATTATCCTAATACACACTCTTTAAAAAATAGCAACAATCAAACTTCAGGGCATTCCAGATTGGCTCATCTGTTCCCCTTGAAATAATGATTTTAGGATATTTTATTTAACTGGGATTGATGCTCAAATGATCATTTATTTACAATTGCTAACTGAAAATCGCCCTCTATTTTGTGGAACGTTAACAAAATTGCCTGAAAAGTACTGTTGTTGTTGTTGTTTTTTTTATTGGGTGCCTTTATACAGATCAAATGTGTTTGCATTTAATTGAATCACTGAATCGTTACATAGGAGTCGGTCTCAGATGGAGAATGCTCTGATGAAAGCTCTTCATCAAAGGTGAAGGAAGAGGAAGATGGTGAATTCGCTGCCAATGAAGAGGATGGTAAGACGGATCTCATTATAAGATGCGGGGAAAAGATGCACACATGTATTTAGTTGAATGACCTGACATTTGTCTATTATTGATGTAATACTGGTTTACTCTGTCTTCCCATTTTCAGCTAAGGATGAGGAGGACACCATAGATGACCAGGAGAAGGTGGAGGGAGATGTGAACCATGCAGAGGAACTTGATGACTTGGCCAGAGAAGGTACTTGGCATGAAATAGCAATGGGAGTTGCTCACGTTGAATAGCCTATTGTAGATACTTTGTGTAATCGTTTATACATTTTGTTTAATTCCTCTCATCTTTGTTGAAGAGCTTCCTTTTCCTGATAAGGTGTGTATAGGAATAAACGTACTCAACTACTAATCTCTTCAAGAATTTATGTAATGGTTAGGCGAGCAATTATGACAAAAAAACCAATCTGGTTTCCTCCTGAATGTTTTAGATTACAAAATGTGAATGGCAATGGCACGCCGAACCAAAGGGAGAGATGCCAACAAAAACTAGTTTGGGTCAATATCACCATACAACATATACAAATGTAGGGCATAAAGTGTTTTGACACGATATTTATGGTTTCTAGTATTTTTTTATTTAGCTGAAAATAACACAGATGACACTTCTCTCCATTCACACACAAAAACGACCTAAACATGACCGATTAAATAAACCTATTCTGTGTATGCTCATACGTACACTGGCGGCAAAGGTCATTTCAGGATTGATTAACACTCCCATGCAGTTTGCAACGTCTAGTGACCCTCTTTGGGTAAACGACACATTTTTAATATAGGTGAAAACATATATAAAGTTGGGTATATGTAGAATTATAAGTGCAGAATTCTAGTTTGACAAAAACTGATCCTTAAACCTCTCCTTGCAGCGTTGTTGCCCTTCTTCAAACTGCTGTGTATTGTGTATATGCCATTTCATTCACACTAAGCCATGCCCTGTTTAAAAACCATGAGCAGTAAACACCCGCCCTGACATATCTCTGCTTCCCTTGTAGGTGAAATGAGCGTCGAGGAGCTGCTGGAGAAGTACAAAGGAGCGTATGCATCAGACTTTGAGGCTCCGTCTGGATCTGGCTCTAAAGAGAGTTCTGATTCGGAGGTGTCTGGGGATGAGGAGGAGGAGACTGAAGAAGATGAGAGTGATGTGGAAAGCAACTCTTCCTCTTCAGGTATTAACCGCTCACAAAGATTCTCAAATGATCTTGTTTACATCGTTTATTTGACCCATTTCTTTCTGCAAAGAACTGTTTGCTGCTTTTAAACTACTCAAATTAAATATTAAATGAGTAACTCTTTCAAATGTGCTTTTTTCAGATTCAGCTGGAGAAAGCAGGCAAGATGATGACAGTGAGAAAGAAGAAGAGGGCAGTGAGGAGGAAGAAGAAGATGATGGCTGTGAAGATGAAGGGATGGAGGTTTTGCTGAAGGAGGGGGACAACAGCCCACCTTCCTCCAGCTCACGACCAAAGAAAGAGATCAGCCACATCGCTGCCACTGCAGAGAGCCTGCAGCCTAAGGGCTACACGTTGGCTACTGCAAAGGTCAGCCTGAAATATTCAAGTGTTGTTCTTTTTAATGACAAAAGAAAATGTTATATCTTTTATATTAGAAGAATAGGGCTGCAAGTAATGATTTTATTCATTTTGAAATGTTTTCGTTTCAATTGTTTGGCCTGTAAAATGCCGTCAAATATTGAACATTTCCATCCAGTTCCTGGTCGTCGAGGGTTAGGTCTTTTAAATGTCTCGTTTTGAAAGTCCAAAACCCAAATGTATACATTTTTAATATAATTCCAAACATAAAAAGCATTGAATCTCCATATTTGAGAGACTGAAAACAGCTTTTTCTTCCATTTCTGCATGAAATATGTCTTTATTAGTCAACTTGAGAAACACTCGAATAGTCTAAGCTCGGTTGCTTGTTTTGTGTCCTATGCAGTTCTGCCCTCTAATTTTCTCATCTTCTTTCCAATGAAAGGTCAAGACCCCCATCCCCTTCTTGCTTCATGGCACGTTACGAGAATACCAACACATTGGACTTGACTGGCTGGTCACCATGTACGAGAAAAAGCTCAACGGCATTCTGGCTGATGAGATGGGACTGGGCAAGACTATCCAGACCATCGCTCTGCTGGCTCACCTCGCCCTTGAAAAAAGTAACCAAACTGCTCCTGATGCTTTAGCACTATTTATACAAATGGCAGTTTAATCGTGTAATTCATCTGGAGTGCTACTCACATTTTCTAAGCTAAATTAAGTTCTTCTTTTACGTTCAACTGTTGATTCCATTGGACTTGTGTTCAGGTAACTGGGGGCCTCACCTCATCATCGTCCCCACCAGTGTGATGTTGAACTGGGAAATGGAGCTAAAACGATGGTGTCCTGGATTTAAAATCCTCACATACTTTGGCAGCCAAAAGGAGAGAAAGCTGAAGAGACAGGTAAAGAGTTAACGTCACAGTTGGCCTCTCCTCTTTAACTGAACGATGGTTATTATGCTCGCCAGTGGGTGAAAGCCAACCCCAGAATCTCTGCTTCACAAAGCATGATTTTGGCCATACCTCAAGAATTCATAAGCTAATTATGACAATTTCACACACATTAATAATGGGGTTAAATGATGAAGTGATGACATTTTGGAAAGATGTGGATGTAAACGGCAACTTGACTAGTTTTGGGGGAGGCATTCTAACGGAAGGCAACAATTCTAGTTTCCTACAAATTGCATTATTTCTGGTGAGCAAACGTTCCACTACAAGTATACAGTGTGATGGATGTGGTCACAGTTAGTTGTAACCAAGCACCAAGGACGTGAGCTCGCCGTTGAGGCAAATTGGACGGTGGAACTTCTGTGTCCTGAGATCATTAGACTTTTTTCATTGACTAACATTGGCAAAGATATAACTGTAAATCAGCATATAATCTTTGTTGCTAAAACAACACCAATTCTAGTTTGGTTGAATAGCCCTTAATCATTAGGTACTCGAGAGTCCATGAACCACTGACCAACTTTCATGAACATCTAATGCTGTATCTCGTTCTCTTTTTACACTCATGGTTGTAACCATATTGTTTGTTTTTTCTTAGGGCTGGACGAAGCCTAATGCTTTCCACGTGTGCATCACTTCGTACAAGCTGGTGCTGCAGGACCACCAGGCGTTCCGACGCAAGTCCTGGAGATACCTGATCCTGGACGAGGCACAAAACATCAAGAACTTCAAGTCCCAGCGCTGGCAGAGCCTGCTGAACTTCAACAGGTCAGTAATGATTTTTAATTTGAAATAGACATGTACTAACTAAGGGTTCTAAAATAATAAAAACAATGTAATCAAAAATAATCTGGTTTCCCCCCAAACCTCCAAAATGAAGAAGCACCACAAAAGAAGTTAGCACTAGAAGGGCCGTTGCTTAAGGCTCAAACATGCAACCCTGCCTCTGCAGACACGCACCAGCTGGCCAGTGACATTTAAGTTGACTTACTTGCTGTTCTTTGTCCCTTCTAAACTTTATACAGGGGATATGTGCTCCGACTGAAATGCCCTCTTTTTGTTTTATGTTATGTCCCTATTATCCAAACCGTCTCTTTGCAGGTTTAAATAAATATGGTTGTAAAAAGATACTAGGACACTTTAAATGCATTGGTGCACGTTACTTTTGAAAGGTTTTGAGAGGGATCAGTTTTTAAAATTTCAATCGAACATTTTGTGGTAGTAGACCAATACGTTTTACGGATATCAGTAATGCAAGCAATGACAAGTTTTGATTATACAAAATGATTTGCTGTGATTGAAGCGTTACATTTAGCCTGCAGAGTCTGGCAAACATCCATGTGTCCATTTTTCCAAAAGCACTTTAACCCTGATATTAAGCATTGCTCCGTATATGACATATTACCCTAGTAGACACGGATGATCGTGGCTCCAGCATTATTTTTAGAAATAAGAAAATCTGTACAGATGTTTTATGCAAGCATTATGTACCAAGTACTCTTGTACAAAATGGCACATTCAACGATGCTTTTCTGTCTTTAAGCTGCCGCTTGTCACAAATAGTCAGGATGCATTCAGCTGTAGAGAATATGCTATAATTTAACATGAGCCATGTTTAACTTTTAATTAATCCCCCAAATACACCCAAGCACGTAACTGTTTATCCACAGGTCACAGTGGTGTGGATGTGAATGTTAACTAGCTTATCCTACAAATAATATTTATTTTTCTTGTTTTCTTTTATCAAAGTGACTGTAATTAGACTAACTAGTCATCATCTGGCTAGAGGCCTGTTCCAGCTGGTGGCAATTTATCACTGGTACGTGGAGCTTCAAGGAGAAGCTGAACACACTGTTTTATTACACACAAGCGTTTCCACATAGATCTTCTTCAGCCGTACCCCGTACATGGAGACAGAAAGAGCACTTATATGGGCACCCCAATAAAAAAAAACATCTGCGTATCTTGAACGCAACATTCTTGAACTCGGGTCTTGTAGTCCTAAGAGATGTTTTCTGCCCATTTGTGACGGATTGCATATTAGTGATTGAAAGGATGATAGACAATTATTTTTCCTATGCTAACACTAAGCCGTTTTAAAGCTAATTTACCGACAACTACTGTATAAAAAGTTATACATGCAAACAAACAACAATGATAAAAAATAATAGATAAACTATCAGTCATAACTTCTGAAATAATGACAAATTCACCTATAGGTCCCAAACAGAAAGGTATATACAACATCTCTAAAATGTACAATAAATCTTTCTGCAAATATCAACATGTTGATTTCCCTTTTACAGCCACCGGCGCCTGCTGCTGACAGGAACTCCTCTCCAGAACAGCCTGATGGAGCTGTGGTCTCTGATGCACTTCCTCATGCCCCACGTCTTCCAGTCCCACCGCGAGTTCAAGGAATGGTTCTCCAACCCGCTGACGGGAATGATCGAGGGCAGCCAGGAGTACAATGAGGGCCTGGTCAAGAGGCTGCACAAGGTGCTGAGGCCGTTCCTGCTCAGGAGGATCAAGATCGACGTGGAGAAGCAGATGCCCAAAAAATACGAGCATGTTGTGCGCTGTCGCCTCTCCAAGAGACAACGGTTTCTCTACGATGACTTCATGGCACAGGCCTCGTAAGTTACTACACCTCAGAGATGATCCAGTACACAGCAAACATCTTTTTGGGATTTCAAATGTATTGTGAGCCTCCTAAAGATTTCTACTTGCGGAAAAGCAGATTATTTTTTAAAGATGGATTTAAAGGCACACTCATATACAAATTATATTAATGAATTAAGATTGTTGTAGAGTGGGTTGCCGAGTCATCTCTGACTATAGAATATGATTGACCTACATGGCAAAGGGTTTGTGCTGTTTTGGGGTATACACATTATTCTGTATTATTATATTTAGCTTGGTCTACTCAATAAAAAGTTTAGTTATCATTAGTCCAAGAAGTTTGGGCTTTTTTGGTTAAATCAAACAATCACAGACCCTGTTTTCTATTTGATTTATTCCCATAAATAGCTTTAATGCTTGTGTTTATTACCGGTGTTTTTCTCTTGTCTTACTAGCGTTTGTTTCTGTTTCACAGGACCCGGGAAACGCTGGCGAGCGGTCACTTCATGTCTGTGATTAACATCTTAATGCAGCTCCGCAAAGTGTGCAACCACCCCAACCTGTTCGACCCTCGGCCCATCCAGTCGCCCTTCATCACCAAGCCCATTGTTTTCCATACAGCCTCTCTGGCGATGGACGCTCTGGAGATCTCCCCTTTGAAGGTTAGCTTTAAAGGAAAAACTGAAAAAGCTTTAATTTGGTCCCAATGTATTTTTTCCGTCAATTCTGTAATGCTGAGGAGTGGATGTTTAAATGTATTACTTTGTTTTTGTGTCATCAGCGCTGCGACCTTTCAATGTTTGACCTTGTTGGTTTGGAGAGCCGTGTGTCCCGCTACCAGGCAGACATCTTCTTGCCACGCCACAAGGTCAACCGGCAACTCATCCAGGAGGTCATGGATTACCCTGAACCCCCTCCGAGACCTAAACCGGTCCGCATGAAGGTCAACAGGTACGCAGTGCAAATACTTTTATAACCACACATTGTGTAGCCAAACCCAAATGGCTTTCCCAGAATAGTACAGCTGAACCTACACCAGTATTCTCAATTTAAATATCAATGTGTTAGTCTAGAAAAGCTGACTTCTACAAACAAAAGTCAATCCAGATTATTTTTTAAATACTAAATCCAAACAGTTTTCATCTTGCTCGATGCAATACAAAGATTGGTATTAAACTTCTTAAGTTGCATTAAAATGTGTGGCCAGGCAACCATCATAGTAAACGTTAAGATGTTGTCTTGCTTAATTTTCCCGTGATCAATCAAAATCGGACAATCTATAAAGCAAACAGTTTTGGTGAGTGTGGACAAACATGCAACTGATCATAGTAAAACTGTTTTATTTTGATTAGAAAACACCACTTTTTGGATAACTGTAAACTAATTCAATCAATCAATTGAGCACTTTGGAAAAGTTGGTGTAAAATGTATTATAAAAATCAATAAATTAAGACATTGATTGATCTTTTGTTTGTTGGTCTGTCTCTGCTGTAGGATGTTCCAGCCGCCTCCTAAAAGTGATAACCGACCGGTCCTCCTGATGAATAAACCCACCTGCTCAGTGCCTCCTGCAGCACAGACCCCTAAATCTCTAGTTGCTGAAGTCTCCACAGCTGCTGCTCCTGTGGTTCAACAAGGCAAGTGAAAAGGAACATTTATTTATCCTCTAAATGAATCTTACATTTGCAGATCTTTATATTATTTTTCTCCTAATACTTTTTCCTTTTCTTTTAGTGGTGTGTACAGTGGCAACCACGGCCCCCCCTCGCCTGCCCATGCATCCAGCTCAAATTGCAGTGAGAGCCAGCGCTCCAAAGCCAGTGCTGACCGTTCGGCCTCCCACTGCTTCCTGCACCACCAGCATCGCCGCTCATCCAGGCCCCGTCCCCGGCAGCGTCCTGCCCCAGAGGGTGCTGCTCAGTCCGGACATGCAGGCCAGGTTGCCTTGTAAGTGTAGAGCAGTGTTTTTCATACCAAGGACCACTTAACCAATAAAAAAACACTCGCAGACCACCTAACTCCACAAATATCCAAAATCACATCCTTTTTCTAGAACAGATTACAAATCTCCTGAAAATGGTACAAACAAGTGGCTACATGTGTGATGAAGGTGTTGCGCTGGACTTGAAACTTAAGCTCGCTCCATTGCGGAGATATTCCCGCGAGAGTGCGGAAATCTTAAATGTATTTATTTATTTCAAATGTGAAATGTTACCAATATACTCACGGACCACTGGGGGGCGCTCACGGACCACCAGTGGTCCGCGGACCACACTTTGAGAAGCACTGGTGTCGAGGGTCATTTCCAGTGTGCAGTTGTTTGACTCTCAGAACAGATCATGATTATCTCCTCTTCAATCTGCACTGAATACTAGCTGTCAGTTTGATTTCATATTTAAAAAAACACTTTAACTTTAATTTAAAGTCAATTCAGCAGCTCACCACAGCGTATTAAGGCCATTTTTGGTGAGGAAAACATTCATTATTCAATTAAATCTTATATAAAATATCTTTCAATATTCAATAAAAATATATTTCATAGTTTTTATTTGTGATTCAATGTGCATGTCGGTATTTATATTTGTTTAATAACATAGCAGCTAGAGAAGCACACACCTATTAAAACAAACATTATACACATGTCCTTGTTCACAACCCAGATTTTGTAGTAAAATTAATATAATTTTGTTTTTAATCCTGTTTTTTTTCTTTGTCTTCCTTCCTCAGCTGGTGAGGTAGTGAGCATAGCCCAGCTGGCCTCTCTGGCAGGGCGTCCTGTGTCGTGTCAGGGCAGTAAACCTGTCACCTTCCAGCTGCAAGGCAACAAGCTGACTCTGTCTGGAGCCCAGCTCCACCAGGTCCCAGCAGCTTCCCCACGCTCTGTGCAAGGTTCGTTTTCCTTTGTACTCGCTGCAGATGAATGAAGGGAGTGTGTTTTATCTGCCACTTAAAATTATTAACGCACCAACAAGATTTCATAGGTAGGTGATTGTGGTCACAATTTGGATTTTCTTCATTTATTCTGTGAAGTATTTAATAATAATACAAATGTTATTCTGCTCCAAAAAGCTACTTATGCCTCTATAAGTTGTATCATGGAATGACCCAAGCGAAAGATAATGGGAGGAATTTTCAATTTTTGCATTAACCTCCTATGTATTTATATGGAAAGAATACTTGGTGTAGTTCAGGGGGTCAAAATATGTTTTTATAGATAATTGTTGGTTTTACAACTGACTTTTCAAAGTAATTGTACATGCAAAAATAGAAGAAAAAAGTTTGCTATGTTGCATGTATCAAATAGTTTAAATCTCATCTCTTAATAAAGAAATGATTGAAGTCATTAGGTATGTTGTATGCAATGCGGTTACTAGAGAATCTGAGTAGAAAAACGTCCCTGATCATAACCCGTCTGTATTCATCTCACGCTGCAGGTAATGTGATGCACCTGGTGACCAGCGGGATGCAGCACCACCTCATCAGCCAGACCACCCAGGTGACAGTCCAGAGCGCAGTCAGCACCTCCGCCACTGCTCCAGCTTCCAATCGGATGCCTCACAATATCACAGCGCAAGGTTTTTACCCCTTTCTCAAACTCCCTCTTTCACGTTCTGGCCCTTAACAAACAAAGTCATTCTTATATTAAATGGCTTTCATTTAATTCTGAACATCCGAAATATCCAAGTCTTGACTTTAATCTAACAAAAGCTAATTTTGCCTGGAAATGTATGTTATTATTTTCTTTTTTGGATGTTATCCTATGACTACAGCAAATGACGGCCATTGTAGATAAATAAAATGAAGGACCCTGGGGGAGATGGTAATATTCAGAGAAAAAAGATTGAAGTTATACATTTACAAGAAAAACAACCCAAATATTCTGAGATTAAAGTAATACATTTGCAAGAGACACCTCATCACACTGCAGATGGTAAACAGGGAATACCTTGCATACTATAGAGGAGAGGTGCTCTCCTTGGCAATGTCTCTTTTTAAAGTCTGATTGCTTATGATCATATTGTATATTTGGACAAAAGTATTTCCTTATTGCTACATCCGATAAAAAAGCATAACTGTCATGCTTATCCAACCTTTTTCTCAGAATCTTAGTATATACTCTTTAATTATAGCTTTTCCCCTCTGACTGTTACCCCCTTTCAGCTCCTTAATAATGTTTTTACCTAGAACAGCTCAAATTTGTTCTCACGACTGATATATTTGATGTTCCCTCAGTGGTCCCCTCCTTGGTGAGCAGCCCGGGTGTGGTGAAGATCGTTGTGCGTCAGACAGCAGGCAAGGACGGTGGACCCGTGCCGACCCTGGCAGTGGCCCCTTCCCCTCGTTTTGGTCCTCTGGCCTCCCTTTCCCCTCATCCTCACGCCACCACAACCCCCGTTAGAATCCCAGCTCCACTGCAAATTGCCCAGCGCACCCCCGGTCCTGCTACTGCTCACTACACCATAGCTCCTCCTGGAAACCCTAGCTCTACCCCAAACCAGCTCCACCCCACTCGCCCCATCCTCAAGGTAGTGCAGCCCCCTCCACCGAGCACAGAGCAGCCAGGTGAGAGCAAGAGCTGGAGATATTGTTCTCTCTCAGCGTTAATTCATTTCGCTGCATGCATGCATGACGGGCAAAACAAGGTCACAATGTTATGCAACTAATATTTAGCTTTTTTCACTCAGTTATGCAAACATCTGATGCGCTAAGCAGATACAAACATGCAGGGAAGTTTAGGCGGTTTCAGGAAAGTATTTAAAAACCAGTGAGGTGAATTTGAGTCGAGTCAAATTCCTCGTACCTGTAAACCTACCTGGTAATAAACCTGATTCTGATTAAAGATCCAGACATGTTTTAAGACGTAGAGAAATCCTCTGCTTCAAATAATAATAATTTGTGTCTTATACGTTTTTTCCATGTAAAAGTAACATTCTTAGGAAGAATGTCTTCCAATGACGTCTACACCTTTATCCTCATTAAAAAACAAAACGATATATGCATTTAAATAGCAAGGCTACGTTAGGGGGTCAGGGCGTTTGAGAAAGTAGATTTCTCGTGTAGAATAAAGACTTTCATGTATACAGTCAAACCAGCTTTCAAATTGGATTTTTACCTGTACGCACATGTGTATGTGTGTGGCATAAGAATGCAGACAAGCACAGCATGGTGGCAATATAGAAAAGGAAAGCGGTAAATACAGGGAAAGATGCAACCTTGAATTAAGCATTACTCTAAAATTCTGACTAAAAAGGTAACACAAAGTAGATTCTAGAAGTCCAAATAACTCTGAATGTTTGACTTTTTAGTACATTATTGATACATTAGCGATGTCAGGAAAATATTTGCTCTGTCGCACTCCTACCAACCCAGCATCTTGCATCTCTAAAACTGTTAAAATAAGTCAGTTTCAGAAATAAGGTTGCAGGTATACAGAAATTAAGAACAAAGAAACTACAGTAGATTCAACCGGTTAATGTGCTATTGTTTATTTCAAGAGTTTACCGACAAGTTGTAGCCATCAAAGAAATACAAATGTTTTAAGTCAGAAAAGCAAGTTTTAGAAGCTAGTTTAACTTAATGACTGAAGTCAATTCATAAAGAATTGAATCCCAAATCTATGATTATTTATATTTCCCTGGTTATTGACACAGCTCTGCTTTCTGCTCCATCCTCCCCTTAGCTCCAGTTCAGGTGAGCTCCTCGTCCTCTGCGTCCAAACCCCTGGCAGCACCGCATGAGAGCAGCAACAGCAACAACAGCAGTCAAACACCAGCTACCACTAAGTCCAGGCCCAGTGCAAAACCCCTCCCTCCACCCAGGAGAAGGCCGCCACCACCTCCCCGCTCTCCTTTCCACTTGGTAAGCAAGCTGTACCCGTGATGTTGATCATCAACAGACATCAGAGAAAATATCTTGGCACAGTTAAATTCTGCCATATTTAAGTGTATCTGTCTCATAACAAAAATAGTTTGAGAATATTTTTTTGTAGTAACAGTATTGCTAGAAACCACATTTTAATCATGTAAAGACAAACAAGTCCACTGCGAAACTGCACAAAACAAGACCCTCTTAATATAGATTCATAAAATAAAATGTTCCGTTTGTGTCTGATTTCATGAAATAACTACTGTCCTGAGGTCCCGGAAAATACATACAAAATATTTCCTAATTATCATTTATCAACCGACTTTATTTATTACTTTGTATGCTCTCAGATGAATAGATTGGGATAACTAAATATGTTCTTAATTAATGTATGAGGGATATGACTCCAGACTATGCTAAAAAAGTGGGGCACTTTGTTTGGCATTAGTTTGAGTTTTAGATTTGTAAATGTAGTTCAATGGTGTTTACACATTTCCTGTGAATGTACCTCTTTGATAAAAAAACAAGATAATTAACACTAACTTTTAAAGCTGAAACACGTTATTGCAGATTTATATATAGAAATGTATTGATTGGGATAAACCCCTTGAGATGCACCATCTCGTTTTCAAGGGGGTCCCGACATTAGCAACAACTTACAGACATACATAAACAAAAAAACAATCATCTTGTGTTACCTGCTAAAATGTACTCTCCTACTCCACAGGCATGGATGGCAGAGAGCCAGAAACAGCAGCGTGACAGCCGACTGGACTTCATCATTAGAGTGAACGAGAACCGCTGTGCAGCGAAGCCCATGTATGGCCGAGAGGTTCTGAACTTCCTGACTTTTCTCCCTGGAAGCCATCCCTCGCCGGCCCCCCTGAGCGCTCAGGGGGAGTGGGGCCGCTCGGGTCACAGCAGCGCTCTGTACGCTCAGTGGCAAAACAAATCTGACTTCTGGTTCCAGAGTCAAGCTGTGAGAGAGGCCATCCACAGCATTGATGACAGACTGGAGCTGCTCAATCCCATTATAGACAGGTAGATGACTGATGGGAATTATGGCATGAAACTTTTCCGGGGAACAAAGCAGAACAATTTGTGACTTAACTGTTGTTTATTTTGCCCAATTAGGTTTACATTTGCAATTCCCCCAGTGGAGGCTCGTCCGATCTCCATGCACTGCTGCCACCCTCCACCCTCCTTGAGCCACAAGCAGGCCGTCTTCTCCACTCAGCTGTCGGCTCAAGTCACTCCGCTGGCTCGCAGTCTCCATCGTATCCAGTGTTACACGCGGACCCAGTTCCCGGACCTGAGGCTCATACAGTATGATTGCGGTAAGGTGGCATTATGCTCTTTTTGCAGTTGAGAGAATCAGAGCTGTGTAGTGAGTTTGTTTCGACCTAATGTGATGGCATTTTATTATTTAACTGCAAACATAGACTGCATACAGCAATACAACTAATGGAAAAAAAGGAAATGTGGTCGTAGACGTCAACTATCCACAGGCTTATGGCCAGTTTTTTTTTTCTTTTCGCTTTGGTCCGTTTTGGTCCTAATGACACAAATTAGGTCATATTTTATCATGCATAAATGATATGCCCACCCCAAGCTTACAAGCACCATTATATAGTAATAGAAAGCATAGTAGGCACATTCATTATAACTAATAATAAACCTATAAACTGTCTTAATGTAATCTTAACTTACTGGCATCAAAGTAACAAACCATTGCATTTCCTTAGTCTTCACCAGTACACCAGAGAGCCATATTTATCTGGCATATAAAGCAGTTGCTATTGACAATCTACTATTGGTGACTGTTTGCTTTCCTACATAACTCAATTGTATTCTTCCCATATACAGGTAAGTTGCAGACTCTGCACACTCTGCTGCGAAAGCTGAAGACAGGAAGCCACAGAGTGTTGATCTTCACTCAGATGACGCGCATGTTAGATGTGCTGGAGCAGTTCCTCAACTACCACGGACACATCTACCTGCGTTTGGATGGCAGCACCCGTGTGGAGATGAGACAGGTTAGAACTAATGCTTTGTTCCAATAACCATGTTTTGAAAATAAAGTTAGATTTGAAATGTCTCCCATAAGTCTCAACAATGTTGTCTTGTTCTTAATATTCTGAAAATCAATAACAACAACAAATCTATTTAACGCTTCATCAGTCCGGCGTCTCTTTTGCTTATTCTCTGTGCATCTTTTTTCTTCTTCCTCAGTCTCTCATGGAGCGCTTCAATGCAGACCGGCGTATTTTCTGCTTCATTTTGTCGACTCGCAGCGGAGGTGTAGGGGTAAATCTGACTGGCGCCGACACAGTCGTCTTCTACGACAGCGACTGGAACCCCACCATGGACGCTCAGGCACAGGACCGTTGCCACCGAATCGGCCAGACCAGAGACGTACACATCTACAGGTAACGGCGTTAAAGTGGTTTTACATGAGCAATACATGCATACAAATGCTTTGTAACAGTGAAAAAAGGACAAGTAGGAAATGGCAAAATCTCTTTAAATTCTTTTGACATATGGTCCTTTTTAAGAGCGCAGTTCCACTTTCATTTTGACCTTTAGCATTTGATTAAACAAGGAAGAATGAAGCAAGCAGAGTTAGGCCCCGTTTACACGGAGACGGAATGGGTGTTACAGTTCTCTATTGTATGAACGGTTCGTTCACACGAGGCCGTAACGGAACCGCGGAAACAGAGCCCTCAAACGAAAACGGGTCCCAAGGTGGGTAGATCTGCGGACGGAACACTCTGGGGGGTCAAACGGCTCTGTGTGTACGCCCGATACGCCATAGCCCCGCCTCTCCCCACCTCTCCTGCTCACCCCCGTCATTGCTGATGTGTTTCGCCAACAGCAACAGTGTTCCGAGTGTTTCGAGCCAGGTCCCGGTATCTCGCAGGACAGTGCACCCACAGGAGCCTCCAGCAGACCCCCCCGCACGGCAGAGTTTCCGTTAGCTGGTAATTACCGGACTATGACCGGTACAATATGCTGAAGACCGGCAAATCTAAATCTCTCCGGCCAAAATGTTGCTTATTGTTTAGGTGTCCTTTGACACGCAGGCAGTCATATCATTAGCTAGAACTAGCTAGATCTGATCGATATGGACATAAACGCGAGTGAAGTCTAATCGGACAGGAGACAGAGATCAGAGATCAGCTGCTGCTGACTGAGACAGCAGCTCTGCATGATCACCTGCAGCTCCGCCCGCTGTGATGGAGCAGTGAGCGGAGCAAAACACACACTTCAAGTTAGATCATCACACCTAGCTATTTGAATGACCTCTCAAACTACCTTAACTAGTTATAAATATGTTTATTTCGACTGTCGGGTCACTCATTACTGGATCAGCCAGCTGCATGAGACGGATACTGACGGTCTGTCAGGAGAGGGGGAGGAAAAGAGAAGCTCCGTTTATTATTCTTATATTATTATTATTAGGGCTGTCAAGTTAACGCGTTAATAACTCATTAACGCAAAAAAAAAATAACGCCACTAATTATTTTAACGCGATTAACGCATGTGTATTTTTTGTCCTCGGCCGCCCCGTAGTTTCAGAGCGCATCGAGTTTAAAATACCATCTACAAGCTGATGCTGACAGCCCCGCTCCTGCTGCCCGCTTGTGGCAGACCACACTTCCACGCTCACCGGCAGGCACCGACTGGCTATTGGGAGGACCGGGAGGGTGTGTGTATGTGTGGCCCGAGCGAGAGAGAGAGACCTTACGTGTATTGTTGTTGTTAGCATCCGGTGCTAGCTAGAATATTTGTCATCGTTCAAATGATAATAAACATTTGCATAAAGCATATTTGTCCACTCATATGTTGATAAGAGTATTAAAAACTTGAAAAATATTCCTCTAAGGTACATTTAGAACAGATACAAAATGTGCGATTAATTTGCGATTAACTATGGACAATCATGCGATTTAAATATTTAAATCGACTGACAGCCCTAATTATTATATAGAGTCGTTATTAATTTGTTTTAAAGCTCAATAAATAACAAAGAAAACCTTTGACCGGCACTTTTCTAATTTTGTCCGGAAGATTTAAACTTTAGCGGAAACTCTGCCGCACTGTTCCCTCGTCCCATGGAAGAGGCGGAGAGGTGGGTGTTTTTCATCTGCTGGTGGACTACCGGGGAGAACGTCCTGCTCGGGAGCCAGGCTCAGAGTTAGTGGCAGTGGGTGCGGTGCACCTGCCTTTTACAGCAGGAGCACACGCTCGCCTCGGGGAGGGATAAAAAGAGAAACAGGCCGCCGAAACAGCCAGAGCCCTGCCTCTCCCCACCTCTGCTGCTCACCCAAATCTACAGCTCCTCTACCACAACCATCAGCAACAAGTGGACATGGAGAACTACATGAACTACATGTTGCTAAATCCACCGCAGAGAATAAACAGAAGGGCAACCATGGCAACCATGCTCGGTAGGTCTTATTCGGTGCTTTTGGTATTTTGTGGCGGAAGTACAGCGCCACTTACAGGCCCGGCATATGTACTACAGCGTCTCCAGCGGGTCGAGCGGTCTTGTGTGGACGGACACGTTTATTGAGCCGATTCCGTGTGGAAGGAAGACTTTTTTAATATCGAATTCTGTTCGTTTTCGTTTCCGTGTAAACAGAGTCTTAATCTTAAAAACAAACAAACATAGGAAGCTGCTGAGTCAAGTAAGACACCTAGTGGTAAAGTCCAGTGTTTGACTCCTAAACCGGTTTAAGGAATTGTTTTTAGACTTACCCAACCCTACTGCTGAGCCTTCAGGAGATGTTGTAATTCTATTTTCATGAAACAATACTGGGAAGTCCCCACATTCACATTTTCATTATGACAGAAGTTTTGATGCGATTGCAGTAGAAGCACAGATTTAGAATCAATAACTAACTGCCTTAAAATTGTCTCAAAACCGTTTGTGTGTGTCAGAAAGTAGCTAGCAGGCTGTCATGCACAGAAGGAGTGCTAAGCAAATGCAGCCAATGTCAATTATATTACAAGATGTATGATTTGAAAAACAAGGCACATGTGAGTTAGAAATAATTTCAACAGCATATTGATGTTTTCATCTTCAGGCTGATCAGCGAGCGAACAGTGGAAGAGAATATTTTGAAGAAGGCAAATCAGAAGAGGATTCTGGGAGATATGGCTATTGAAGGAGGAAACTTTACTACTGCTTTCTTCAAAGAGGTAGGATTTTAACTACAGTACTTTGCAGACACTTACTATTTGTTTTATTGCCTAACAATACAATGAAAATGCATTCCCTAAAGTTTTATATATGAAATCCACTTCTGGTACTGGCAGCACATAACATATAAGTGCAGAGCATGAAGTAAAATTCAACAACATATTTTTATTTCTCTCTCTTCTGTTTAAAACCCCGATGATCAAATGATGATTAATCATTGTTTTAAATAAACACAAATATGTAGCACATAATTAAATGTTTGTCATTGCATAAACACACGCTATGCCCTCTTCCCCTTTCATTTAATGTGTTCAGATTGACCTCTTTAGGTGCTGTTTGAAATAGGGCCACAAAGCAACATTTTGTAATGAAATGCAACAAATGAAACCATAAGCATAAGTGCTCTGTTTGATTTAATTACCACAGGACCTAAGCTTTTCAAGTGCCTCCTCATTTCGTTGTTTTTACAGAGAACCCTCTCCCTAAATTGAATTTGTCTCTTTTTCTCTTTTTCCTCAGCAAACTATCCGAGATCTGTTTGATATGAATGATGGGGAGAAGAAGGAGGCGGCAGTCGAGCTAACAGTGTCGCAACCTGAGGAGGAGGAGGCTGTCAACAAACAGAGCACCACCATTCTGGAGCAGGTTAGATGCATCACATGTTTGCATATATTCTGTATGTAGCACCCAACTTGGTAACAAGCAGAACCAAACACAGGAGAAAGTATTGCATTTTTTGGGTCATTCAATAAATAAATGAAATAAACACATAGTAAAGTATTTTTTTTTATTATCCTGTGTAATTTTATACACTTGGCAAATAAAAGAAACTGATCATTGTTCTCACTTATTAAAGAAATGTAGTGCAAAATCCACCTATTGACCTAATCCTCATTTTATACTGTTAAAAAATAATGTTTTCTTTCTAGACAGTATTGTGTTTATATAACCTGATCATCTTGAAATGATTCTCTTAGGCCCTATGTCGTGCTGAGGATGAGGAGGACATAGTAGCAGCCTCTCAGGCCAAAGCGGAGCAGGTGGCAGAACTTGCAGAGTTCAACGAGAACATACCACTGGATGATGCAGGAGAACAGGAGGAGGTGGAGGAGCTCTCAAAGGCAGAGCAGGAAATTGCTGCTCTGGTGGAGCAGGTGAGTTATCATGGCTGGATAATCTGTTTTTAACACAAATAATGTGATAATATGATAAAGTTCCTATACAGAGCTTGATGGAGCATTGTAGTCAGTCAAGATATTTATCTGCATTATACCTATAGTTATTTTATTCATTGTTTCATCTCCATATGCTCTATCTCTAGCTCACCCCGATTGAACGCTATGCCATGAACTTCCTGGAGGCCTCACTAGAAGACGTATGCAAAGAGGAGTTGAAGCAGGCTGAGGTATGTCACAATCTTTACCTTGTTTGTGTTGATTTGAGAAACTATGTCTCATTAGCTCGGATCTAAAAGTTAAGTCTAAAATCCAACTGTATTCCCAATGCGCTGTACACATATCCAAAGAATTCTCTTAAAACCTGAATAATATTGGCATATCCTTTATGTCCTTATCAGTGGAATATTATGAATTTAAGAATAATACTGGAATATATAATATTTTACGTAAAAATGGTCAGTGACTTAAAAGTATTTAAAAGGAATTTACCTAACATTTAGTTTTGTGTTATTTTGTCAGTCAGTAGTTTTACTTATTTGACCAACCCGGTAGTCCTAGAGAACCAATCACAGAGACATTTTATATACGATTTAAAAAAAAAACGAAATTCTAAAAATCTGCCTGTGTCTGTTCAGGAGCAAGTGGAGGCTGCCAGGAAGGGCCTGGACCAGGCCAAGGAGGAAGGCCTAAAGCTCAACGCTTCATCCGATGACGACGACAATGACTCGTCACTGACAGCTTCTGTGGAGCCTACTCAGCCAGGCCGCCGTGGCCGTAAACCCAAGGAGGCAAGCAAGAACGTCTCCTCTACCAGGACCAGCGGTCGGCTGCGCGGGGCATCGCCCGAAACTGAGCCTGAAAAGTCGCCCACGTCGCCAAAAGAAGTGCCTGAAAGACTGCGTTGTGGTCTGAGACGAGGAGCTGCCAAAGACTCTGATACTGTGTCTACCACACCATCCCACACAGACGATAATAAAACGTCCTCATCAACCAGACTTCAAGATTCCTCTAAATCGTCAAAAGCCTCATCTCCTGCCAGAGATCAACACACAATCAAAACCAGGACTTTGCCGAACCGCTCTCATTCCAGTCCAGTGCCTTCCCCTCCAACAAGCTCTCCTCCCACAAGGAAACAACCGTCTCTTGGGGAGACCGACAGCAAGACCTCAAAAGACTGCAGAGAGGAGAAAGAATCCGAGTCATTGCCAGAATCCAGCTTCCCGGTAGACCACGAAGCAAAAGATTATGACACCAAAGACCACAGCGCAATGTCTCCACCCTCCACCAGCTCTCGATCGCCTCGCAAGCGCCAGTCAGCAGACGAAGAAGTCCTGCGCGGCCTTGTCGAAGATTCCCCATCAGCCAAAGTCCTGCGGAAGCTTCCTGGGAGGCTGGTCACGGTGGTGGGGGAGAAGGAGCCACGAAGGAGGAGGCGGCGAGGAAGCGGCACTGGAGCTTCTTCAGAGGAGGCTACCGCAGAGGAGAACCCTTCCGGATCAGTCGAAGAATCAAACACAAAAGACAACACAAAAGACAACCCATCACCAAGCTCCGACAGCAAAACTAAAGGGGCCGTTGCTCAATTTCCACAGGACCAAGACTCTACTCCAAAACCTTCTGTGCACCATCCACCTGTCAGAAGTTACGCTCCATATTCTCCAGCTCATCTTTCTCCTGACATGCCTGTGCTGAGAAATCTTCCTGTACGCCGCAGGTTGGAAACTGAATCTCGCATGGCTGCTCAGCTGGGAGAGCAGCTTTTGAGTCGGGGAAGAGCGAACCAGTCCAGAAAAACTGAAACAACACCGGGCAAAGACACAACCTCTACAGAGTCCAATGTCAATTCTCTTGCGGGAAATTTGAAAAGAAAGAGGGGCCGGCCCCCTAAGACTCCCCCAAGGTTACCTGAGGCTGGCAACACAGTGGCCTCTTCCCCACAGCCCACATCGCAAAGCGAAGAAGGGAACCCTCCAAACTCCCCGAAACGTAAGAGGGGGCGTCCTCGCAAAGACTCCACAACCTCGCCAGAAACTATTAGTGAAGAACAGAACTCTAAAAATGAATCCACTGAAAATGATGCAAGCAAAGAGCCAACAGTACTGTCTCTCAATGTGTCGGAGACACCCATAGCAGATGTTATCACTACAAGTCAGGACTCCCAGTCTACCAAAGCTGAGGAAATGGACACTAAGAGTGAGGTTTCAACCCCTGCTCCAAACCCAGCTCAAGCTCACACAACCACAACCACAGATACAGTTTCAAAACCAGCTTTACCCCTATCACCCACTGTACCTGCACCCCTTCCTGTAGCTGCCTCCACACCAGTCTCAGCCCAATTCCTTAATTCAGATCTGACTTCAGTTCCAAGCTCAGACACAGCACACCCACAGGTGTCCTCTGTAACACATTCTATGTCTGCTGTTACAACCACCACCCATGCAGCTCCATTGGTACCCACCAGTACTGTTGCGTCAACCAATAAGGGTGTAAAACCAACAGCTGCCAATACTCACATACAGCCAAAACCTTCAGTTTCTACAACTGCTAAAGCTCAAGTAGAGCCCAAACCATTGGTTTCTACAACTCCTAAAGCTCAAGTAGAGCTCAAACCATCGGTTTCTACAACTCCGAAAGCTCAAGTAGAGCCCAAACCTTCAGTTTCTACAACTCCTAAAGCTCAAGTAGAGCCCAATCCTTCAGTTTCTACAACTCCTAAAGCTCAAGTAGAGTTCAAACCTTCCGTTTCTACAACTTGTACAACTCAAGTAGAGCCCAAACCTTCAGTTTCTACAACTTCTGCAGCTCCTGTAGAGCCCAAACCTTCAGTTTCTACAACTTCTGCAGCTCCTGTAGAGCCCAAACCTTCAGTTTCTACAACTTCTACAGCCTCTGTAGAGCCCAAACCTTCAGTTTCTACAACTTCTGCAGCTCCTGTAGAGCCCAAACCATCAGTTTCTACAACTTCTGCAGCCCCTGTAGAGCCCAAACCTTCAGTTTCTACAACTTGTACAACTCCCGTAGAGTCCAAACCTTCAGTTTCTACAACTTCTGCAGCCCCTGTAGAGCCCAAACCTTTAGTTTCTACAACTGCTGCAGACCCTGTAGAGCCCAAACCTTCAGTTTCTACAACTTCTGCAGCTCCTGTAGAGCCCAAACCTTCAGTTTCTACAGCTTCTGCAGCTCCCGTAGAGCCCAAACCTTCAGTTTCTACAACTTCTGCAGCTCCTGTAGAGCCCAAACCTTCAGTTTCTACAACTTCTGCAGCCCCTGTAGAGCCCAAACCTTCAGTTTCTACAACTTCTGCAGCTCCTGTAGAGCCCAAACCTTCAGTTTCTACAACTTCTGCAGCCCCTGTAGAGCCCAAACCTTCAGTTTCTACAACTTCTGCAGCTCCTGTAGAGCCCAAACCTTCAGTTTCTACAGCTTCTGCTGCCCCTGTAGAGCCCAAACCTTCAGTTTCTACAACTTCTGCAGCTCCTGTAGAGCCCAAACCTTCAGTTTCTACAACTTCTGCAGCCCCTGTAGAGCCCAAACCTTCAGTTTCTACAACTTCTGCAGCTCCCGTCGAGCCCAAACCTTCAGTTTCTACAACTTCTGCAGCTCCTGTAGAGCCCAAACCTTCAGTTTCTACAGCTTCTGCAGCCTCTGTAGAGCCCAAACCTTCAGTTTCTACAACTTCTGCAGCCTCTGTAGAGCCCAAACCTTCAGTTTCTACAACTTCTGCAGCCCCTGTAGAGCCCAAACCTTCAGTTTCTACAACTTCTACAGCTCCCGTAGAGTCCAAACCTTCAGTTTCTACAACTTCTGCAGCCCCTGTAGAGCCCAAACCTTCAGTTTCTACAACTTCTACAGCTCCCGTAGAGTCCAAACCTTCAGTTTCTACAACTTCTACAGCTCCCGTAGAGCCCAAACCTTCAGTTTCTACAACTTCTGCAGCTCCCGTAGAGTCCAAACCTTCAGTTTCTACAACTTCTGCAGCTCCTGTAGAGCCCAAACCTTCAGTTTCTACAACTTCTGCAGCCCCTGTAGAGCCCAAACCTTCAGTTTCTACAACTTCTGCAGCTCCTGTAGAGCCCAAACCATCAGTTTCTACAACTTCTGCAGCTCCTGTAGAGCCCAAACCTTCAGTTTCTACAACTTCTGCAGCCCCTGTAGAGCCCAAACCTTCAGTTTCTACAACTTCTGCAGCTCCCGTAGAGCCCAAACCTTCAGTTTCTACAACTTCTGCAGCCCCTGTAGAGCCCAAACCTTCAGTTTCTACAACTTCTGCAGCCCCTGTAGAGCCCAAACCTTCAGTTTCTACAACTTCTGCAGCTGCTGTAGAGCCCAAACCTTCAGTTTCTACAACTTCTGCAGCTGCTGTAGTGCCCAAACCTTCAGTTCCTACAACTTGTAAAGCTCAAGTAGAGCCCAAACTTTCAGTTTCTACAACTTCTAAAGCTTGTAAAGAGCCCATTCCTTCACCTATTACAAATTCACAAGCTCTTGTAGAGCCTGAAATTGCACATACTACAACTTCTAAAGCTTCTGTAGAGCCTAAACAATCAGTTTCTTCAACAACTGTGAAAACAACAGACCCAGGCCCCGCTAAAACCACCACAGTAGCGCCACCAGCTGCTAGCACTCCATTGACTTTACCCTCTTCCATGATGGCTGTCAAAGCTGTTCCAACATCAATCCCTGCCACAGCAACTGCTAATAAGGGCATATCAGAAACAGTCAGGATTACTTCACCAGTCACTACAGTAAAATCAGTCACATCTAAAAATACAGCTGTAAAGGACTTGCCACAGGCCTCCTCTCTTCCATCCACAACATCAACCTCAGCTGTTGTAACCTCCACCCCACCTACAGCTTCACCAAAACCCACTTCGACATCTTCCCCCACTTCAGCAACAACCACATTAACAGTAAAATCAGTCCAAGCTAGTCCATCAGACGCTAGCACAGTTTCCACAGAACATCCAACAACGCCTGCTTCTAGAATACCATCAGAATCATCTGTGTCATCGTCTGCTGCAAATACAGTTCCATCTTCTCCAAGGACTAATTTGACACCAACCAAACCAGACTCGACCATTGCTCCGACACATGAAGGTGGCTACATAAAATGTCCTCTTCCAACAACAGCAACATCTACTACTGTAACTACCACAGCCAAGGAGAAGGCAGTGGCTGTTACAGAGAAGACAGAGAAAGTCCAAGTCACCACCCCTTTAGAAACAGCATCCCCTTCCAAAGAACAAACAACTGCAGAAAAGACTGTCAAGATCCCATCTCCCGTGACAACTTCTACACCAGCTCCATTACCAACAGTTACCACAACTACATCACCCCCAGAAAAGTCCATGACAGTTTCTACCACAAACATCAAAACTACTCGAGTGTCCTCTGCTATAGTCGCCCCTGTGACTCGATCAACTGTAGAAGTTAACCCAACAAATACAGTTCCTGTATCCACCAGACAAACGACTCCAGATGCTTCCCTGCAAGTACAATGCTCTGCATCCAGTGAGGTACCAACACCTGCTCCCTCTATTGTTACATCTGAGAAACAATCACTAAAACACAAAGCACCTGCATCTAAAAGTGACCCAGACGGGTTGGAAGAAGTAGGTAAAACAGAAGCTGAGGCAAAAGCTAGCAAGGAGGAGGATCAAGATGAAGAAACGGACATCCGTAAGTCTCAGCGTAAAAGGAGGAAGGTGGAGAGTTCGTCAGGGGCCAAAGACTTTGAGTCGTCAAGGAAGGGGACTCTGCGTGGATCTGCCGCTCAGAAAGAAGAACCTAAGCAGAAAGGGTCAGAGCAAACTCCAATCCAAAAAAGGCCTCTTAGCCGCCAGAGTAGCCAGGACTCTGCTCGCTCCTCTTCTTCATCATCTGGGTGCTCAACCCTAACTCGTCAAGCTCACCACAAGAGGACTTACGAGAATAGACTTCCTACCAAGAAGAGGCGCATGGGGAACGAGGAGAATAACAAAGAGGATAAGAAGCACACCTCTCGGGGAAGGCGTTCCAGGTCTTCTTCTTCCTCGGACTCTGACACCAGTGAGCACAGGGAAGAGCATCGGTTAACACGCTCAGCTAAACACAGGCTGCAACATCAGGAGAAGGAGAAGGGCAACAGCCAACAAGGAAAGACACCCGACAGGAGTGCATCAAACAATACCAACGCATCCACAGGTGGAGAGTCCGGCAGTGATACATCTTCTGTCAGGATCACCAGAAAGTCTGCAGGATCTAAGTCCTCGCAAGAAAGTAAAGCTCAAACAAACAGCGTGCCCTTGATTCCTCCTGAGCCTGAAGTCCTTGGGAAGAGGTGCTCGGCTCTCAATGCTGCAGCCAAGCTCCTGGCAATGAAAGGCAGGGTGGATACCCCTGGCCACACCACTCGGAAAGACTATGGTGCTAAGGCTGCCGGGACTTCCCCTGCCTCTTCTGACAAGAACCAAAAGCCTAAAAGCAAAATTGTTCCAGCCTCCCCTCAGAGTAACTCTTTAAATCTTAGTAATAATAAAAGCAGTAGCAGCAAAACTTTAACACCCAACCAGACAAGCCACTCTGCTTCCCGCTCAACCAGGCAGCGCCCCGGTTCTCTGGTTCCACCCCTGGAAGTGGAGTACAAGAGGTCTAAGGCAGATGAAAAAGACAGGGGGGCTAGAAGGTCTTCAAGGATCAAGGAAGGCGAGGCAGAGGCGCTGTCTTCCTCCCGAGGCCACAGTGCCTGCAGCAGCGTGAGCAGTGACGGCGAGGGCGACGCTGGCGGACGCAGCAGCAGGAGTCGCAGCAGCAGCAGCAACAGCAGCCAGCGGACCCGCAGCATCAGCTCTCAGAACACGGAGCGCCGAGAGTCCCGCGCCACTTCCTCCGGCAGCGAGCGAGAGAGGGATCGCAGCTCCGAGAGCAGAGACAAAAGAGACAGGCACCGCAGGGAGAGCCTGAGGTCGCATAAGCTCACGCAGGAGGTGACCAGCAGTTCGGGAGCAGAGGGGACTCCGGACCGGGTCCTGCGGAGCGTCGCGGCCCTCGCAGCGGTGCAGGCCCGGTCACCGGCCGCAAGCACCCGCTCCTCGTTTGGTCACCACCGTCACAACAAGACATGATCAGAGTGCCAAAGGGAAAAAATAAAAGCGAGAGCACGATACGAGGGCACGTCATGACCTCCAAGGTTGCTGCTTTGTGTGCACTCTTAATGAATGCAGCGGAACTGAGTGCTGCACAAGCCAGGGACCTCCCTGCCTCTTGGGCCCTCTCCCTTTCCAATTTGGAGCTGGCTGACTCAGCAGCTCAGCTGGGGGAAGGCTCAGGGAATGCCGGACTGAGAGTTAAAAGAAAAATGTGGCGCCATTGTTGTGCGTCCGTAAACAGACAGAGATGGTGCAGTGGATAAGTCGCCGCTGGGACTTGAGGGGGACAAAGGTGCAAGAGATGATAAAGGAAAGCTGTTAGTTCACATTATGTACTGTAATCATTAAAGACTGGAACACTCAGATCTTATTTGTTAAGATGGGATTATACAGCACCCTCTATCAGGGTCATAAATGGTAAGTCATTTGTGTGACATTAAAATCTTACGAGTGACCAGTTGTATTGTAAGTTGGAGGTTTTAGAGAGTTTGGTTTTCAAATTTTGTCCGCTGTCCTGACTATTGTTTCTTTGTAGTCAGTTGATAAGTTATGCATATTTTATTATTTCTTCCAGGCTATTAGGAAGAGACCAGCTCTTTCTATGTGTTCTTTGCTGCACTATGCTGGAGCTTGTCTTTTGCTTGGGCCCTTTTTTTTTTTGTAATGTCAGTTTCTGTTCATTGGATTCCTTTTTCAATCCAGCCTTGCATTTCTCATTTGCACATCTGATATTGTGGCCCTCGGCTTTTGAATACATTGTGGTGTAGTAATACGTTTTTACATCAACTGCAGTCTATAATTGGTTCCATGTACCTCACGATGTACTCTACAGTTTGAACATGTATTAATTGAAGCTGCAACTTGTCTTGAACAGACCTGGAGCAGCAAAAATTAAATTTCTTTTTTCTAATCTTCCTAAAGGCAGTTATAGTTATGGTCCACTTTGTCATGTATTAATATCAAAAGGGCAAGTCAATGTTATTAAAATGAAGAGTGCCTCTTTGGCCAAATGGGTTAGAACCTCAGATTGCCTTGTGAAGCACCTGAAGCAGGGTGTCATGCTTATTACAAAAAAGCCAAACAAAAAGGATACAACTCGAGAACATCAAAAAAGCACCCTGAGCGTCAGTGCTACCAAATTAATGTTTTACTTTTCACCTGAATTTATTTGTCACCATCACTTCATTGCTCTTCTTTCATGTAAAAAAAAAAAAAAAAAGAATTACTTGGACAAAATATGTGAATAAAAATGACTGGTACAGTTCCAGATGACTGTAAACTGTCAATTTCCTTTTGGACATGTCGAAGATATTGAGCAAAAGTTGATATTTGGGAGGGAGGGGGGGGGGGGGTGGTGGATTGGGTGGTAGTCTATGGTGATGGTCTTATTTTTTATTTGTCTCTTTATTTGTTGCATTCCTTTTGATCCCTTGTAATTCCACATTGTTTTACTTGAAAAATTAAGACAATTACAGTTGAATAAAAAGACCAAAAATTAGTTGGAATTGTTCATTGTGTTCAGTATTGTTTAATGGTGGGTAAATGACAGGTTTGTGTTATACTGCTATATTTAATATGTACACCTAGTTACTGTTAGACAGATACTTATTGTCTAACAGCCAATGTGTGAACAAAAAAGTTATGATGCAAGACAAACAATATACCATGGCAGTATTTTATTTTTTTAAAACAAACCTAAATTAAAATAAGTGAACCGTAACACTTGGACAACCTTTACAAAATATTGTGGTGCGCACTAGTCATCATTTGTCTGTGAATAAAACCAATGTTCCAGGATTTTCCTCACAGAATACACAATGTGACAAGAGAGACTGCACAATGTGACAAACGGGTGAATACAAAAGTACGACTATTTCTGTGTCAGACTAAACCATGACATTTAAAACACTGCTGTGTACATTTAAACAAAACCTCACTATCCCTTCTTGACAATATTGTAGCACAACATCACATTCTCACATGATCATACATTAAGGTGAAGGCACAGTTTTGAAATAAGAAGTTTTAATTATGTGTGGTTGCAGCATCTTACACAACATTTTAAATCATAAATACATACTGGTAGGACAAATAAAAGTGGGCCTCCTATTGCAGTGCTGAGACACCAAAATCAAAGAGGGCTGTTTTTTTATAGACCCTAAAAAAGAAACATCTGTATTTACAATTGTTACATGTAGGCAGTTTGAAATAACTTTCAAGTCTTAAAAAAATCATCTCAAAGAATGTCATTCACCAGCATTATAGGTTATGTACAATTATATTAGTCTATTAAAACTTATTTACTCCCAATTCATCTAGAAACGTTGTAACAAGAATCAACGCACAGTTTCCTGAGTACAGTGCGGGGTTTCAACACTGCGTTGTGCTTTGCTCAAGGCCACATTTCCTCTTTTATGAAAGAGGGGAAGAGGCACTGACATAACAGCTCACAAATCGTCCTGGTGTTTGTGTCGCAGATTCTGAAGGGGAGGGATTTCCATTAGACCAGCAGCACTGCCTCTTGAGTTGAAGTGGAAATGCAGGTGAGATTGTATTGAGTTAAAACCACATCTCTTAAAAAAAACTGTCTGGAACAAAGAAAAGTAACAGGAAGATGAATATGAAGTGTGGACAAAAAGCACAGTTGACAACGGAATAAATCCAGCCGGATTTTTTTTCTTCTGATGTGCTTCTGCTAAACCAGTCTCCAGCCAACTGCCTGGTGTTAGGTGCCGAAGGCGGAGACCAATGCGATGACTAGGATGAGGATGAGGATAGCCAAACAGATTGCTATCCAGAGTTTTTTCTGCATGGGGATAGAGAAATAGATCAATAAACATAAGAGCAAAATGAATTGGGTGCAACAAAGGGACCCTTCTCCCCAAAATCAAAAATACATATTTTTTCTCCTACCTGTAGTGATATTTATTATTATCACGTGTGAGGTGCAGTGTTGGAGATATCTGCCCTCTTTAAAATATATTGGATATAATAGCACTTGGCTTGTGGTGATCAAAGCCCCCAAAAATATATAGAAATTCAAAAATCAGCAGCATTGTCTCTTTTCAGAAATCATTACTGTTGCACAACATAATTCAAATATTTTAGAAATGTTATAGATTCGATTCTTATATTTACAATTACACCTGTGAGCAGTTTCATGTAGGAACTTTTTTTTTCTACCAAACTACACCTGCCAACAAGTGCACACGAGCCTGCTTCCTTGTGCACGGTGATACGGTTGGCGGGTGTAGTGCGGAAAATAGTTCCTACAGGAAACTGCTTTAGTGACCCGGTCATGATTTCCAGAAAAATGTCAAGACAAGGCAGAGATCTCTACGGCCAGTCTGCCAGCATTGGCCAAAATACTTATAAATAGCACTACAGCTAGGATAAAAACTATATATTTTAATTTAGGAACTGTCCTTTTAAAGACACATTGTAACAGGTATCAGGGCAGGACATAATACAGAAAGGGATTATTGTGTACTAATTTAAGGAGAAACGGCTATTTGGTTTGATAGTACAGGTATAAGTCAGAGTATTTTAAAGTGTCCATATCATGTGTCTTAAAGATGTATACTGTACCTTGCGTGATTTCTGCTGATATGTGACTGCTTTCTCCGTGTTGTCCTTGGCTCTCACCACGTAGTCCGTCGACTGTTTAATGTTGTTCTCAACCCGGTTCACCATCTCCCCCTGCAGAAGGGAAGACATCATTAATTCTCTTTGTCACCCAGATCAAAAGCTGGATTTTGACGTGCACGCTGCTCTACCTGAGCCTCCACCTCCATGGCCAGGTACTGGAACATGTCGTGCAGCTCTCTGATGCTCTGCTCCAGCTTCAGGATCTCGTCGTGCCGGGACTCGATCTCATTCAGAGCCTGTCTCGTGGCTTTAGCGTCGCTCAGGATCTAAAGATTTGTATTAGTTATTAACAATAGCTGCAGCAAGTCATGAGGTGTCAGGGTTTTCAGCATTCTTTACACTACGATCTAGCGGAACTGATCACTAATGGCTTCACTAGGATGTCTTTCTTTGCTTACCAGATCTGCTGTCCAGTTTGAGCGATTAGAGACAACAGAGCACATCTGTCATCATTTCATACATGACACTTAAAGTCACGTCTACTCCTTGGTGCAACTGTGAATGTGTTTTGCTTCAGCAGAGGGGTTGTGGTTTCCAACATCAGGTATTTGACACTTCTTTCATCTTGCCACATACTCACATTTTGAGTGAAAACATCTGTCTGCCCGCTCTCGAGCATCGCGTCCAGCTCTTCATCTGTCACGTCCTTCCCAGCTGACAGGTAGAAGTACATCAGGATGTCGTGGTTGGGTGAGGAGAGGAAGTGAAAATGAAAATACAGAAACTCTCACGAGTTTTTTTTTTTATAAAGGAAACCACCTGGCAGTCTTATGTAGAGCTTGTAAAGAATGTCTTTTTCTCAGTTGTTGCTACAACTATGTAGGGATGCAATTAAGAGTCAAGTATTTTTGTTAGTGATTATTTTGTCTAAAAGCATAAAATGGCCCCTTTAACAATATCCAACAGGAACACGGTGACTTTGTCTGACTAACAGTAAGAAGAAACAAATATTCAATTTACCGTAATGACAAAAAGCTAATATTTGGTATATCTGCTTGGAAAATGACTAAAACGATTAACCAATGATCCAAATATGTGCAGATTTATTTTCTTTCAAACAACTTATCAAATCAACCTGTCATCATCTAAATAGAGGTCGCTGTATAAAAAAAATATGAATGATAAAATAGCTGCGATAATATTAAATACGTCTTCAAAAAGAGCAGTTATAATATAAACAACATTATAGTGATATAAATAATTGATTGCATTGTTATACCGTGCTTATGAATGATAATATGGCGGTTTAAAAGCAGAAAGTGACAGAGAGGAGATGACACATGGTCAGTGAAGCAGGAAGTGGTCACAGCAGTGAGGTCCACCACACACACCCTGTGCTGTACTCACTGATTTTCAGCTGCCGGTGTATCCTCTCCACGTTGCGGTCCCTGTACTGCGCCTGGATGGTGTTGCAGCGACCCATCTGCTCCACAAACTCCCTGGACAGGACTCCGTGCTGCAGAGGAGGAAACACTTTGGTCACTTTAACGCTCATTATTGATAGATCTTATACACATTTGAGGGAATTTAAAATGATATCCAACCTGGGTCCGTTGCATCCGGGAGTTTATGGGTACATATTTTCCATCCTCCTCTCCTTTCTTCGGTTCAATACCTGTAGAGATATTTCATAAGTATCATTAATTAACCCTGCCTTGGGCCTTGTCATGCCGCTTCCCTGATGGCTTTCACAGGATTGTTGACATCCTCGTGGATTCATCTTCTTATTACAGACACATGCATTTCCTAACATTCGGTCTATATGCTGTAAAATGTATTATCTCTTCGATTCACACACGGCATCTATTGCACGTCTGTCCGTCCTGGGAGAGGGATCCCTCCTCTGTTGCTCTCCCTGAGGTTTCTCCCATGTTCCCTTTAAACTGTGGGTTTTCTCTGGAAGTTTTTCCTTGTACGATGTGAGGGTCTAAGGACAGAAGGTGTTGTTTTTCTCATACTGATATTCTGAACAATCTGTGCTGTTGTATTTGCTGTAAAGTGTCTCTACTGTAGGCTATTTTTTATTATATGTACAGCACTTTGGCTCCACCAAAAATCGTTTATAAATGTGCTATATAAATAAAACTTGATTTGATTTGAATGTACACGAAACTAAAGAGTGTTCTAGAGAGGCACCAATCACTGCATTTCCATTTTAATTTAAAACTGCAACTACTTTGCACACTTGCATAATGTATATATTATCCACTGTTTTGTTTGTTTGTAGAAGTATGGTCTTTTACTGTGTATTCTAACTTACTCTGTATATGTTATGTTGTGTATTCCACTGATATGTATATATTTGTAATTTAAACTCTAAATTCCTTAACATGCTGCAGTAACAAAAACATTTCCTTACTTCACAGCTATTAGGATTTCACAGCCACACAAAGTGGTAACAACTGGGCTTATTTTCCACTAGCTTTAGCAACTTTTAAGACCATCTTGGCAGCTTAATTCCTAAAAAGCAACTTAAAGAACATCAGAAAAAAACAAGAAATATGTTATATAATCATTAAATTCCCCTCGCTTATCAGAGCATGTGCGGTGAACGACTCTTCATCCAACAGGTCATAATCTCACAAAATGAACATAAGTGTAT